CAAAGAATGTGGTCGCTCGGTTCATCAAACAGAATCTCATCTGTCGGTATGGTATCCTAGAGAGAATCCTCACTGGTAATGGTACGAATCTAAACAACACTATGATCACCGCCTTGTGCAAGAAATTCAAGATTCAGCATCACAATTCTTCCCCTTACCGGCCAAAGATGAATGGTGTTGTAGAAGCTGCTAACAAAAACATTAAGAAGATCATACAGAAAATGACAGTCACATGCAAAGATTGGCATGAGATACTACCGTTCGCTCTCCACGGGTATCGTACCACAGCTTGCACATCAACTGGGGCAATACCTTATTATCTGGTATACGACATGGAGGCTTTCTTTCCTATTGAGGTCCAGATCCCCTCTCTAAGAATCATGAAGGATGCTGGTTTGAATGAAGAAGATTGGATCCAGACTTTGTTTGACCAACTAAACTTGATTGATGAGAAGAGGTAATCAAAAGCATATTCTCTGGTGGAGCAATGATCTTGACCACTATGGATGGTGATGACCTCCCGCACCCTGTAATTACGGACATAGTAAAAAGATACTACGAATGATCAAAGACCCGCTAGGTTGACTGGCCTAGGAAAAAATAAGGGCTTCCCGGCGAACCAAAAGGGTTCGGGAAAAAATAAGGGATGAAAATTAAAAAAAATCTGTACACCCAGCAAGTCGAAAACCCGAAAGGGCGGCTTGGGCAAAAAAGGGTATCCCGGTGGACTGAAAACCCGAGAGGGCGGTCCAGGAAAAAGTTAGGGATTAAAACGTATGACTATGTCCCGTTGGATCATCTTGAAGACAATCTTCAACATCAACCAATCAACTTAAACGGCTCAAAATCAATCTAATCGACTTCGCCGAGGCGACAAGTGGACAAGACATTCAGAGACATGAAGAGTATAGCAGAATGGGAACCCCATGGGATTATTTCACATAGCTATCTTTACTTTGTATCAATTTTCATTTTTTACGACGATATTCTCTCGCTAGAATGCTCGTCTCATTGTACAAAAATACTTATTCAAGTTAATACAAAGATATCCATTTTGAAAGTGAAAAACCGTTTGTTTTCTTTTTTCTTTGTTTTTGTGTCTTGTTTACAAAAACGAACAATGATTTATTTTTGAACATATGCATTTGAATGTGATTACTGTTACAAATAAACCAAAAAAAAATGGAAAGACAATTACTAATGACTTTAAGAAATAGGATAATATTTATAAGCCATTCCATAAGATCCCCGCAGGCACCTCTTCCAACAGGAGCGGAAGCGAATACATCCTACCACAGAATCGCTAACATACCCCCAGTATGCAGCCTATTGGTATCAAGCGTTCTCATTTTCCTGACAAAGCAAAAACTTCCAACTACTGCTCCAGAGGTTCCCCAGTAAATTGCCCAACTTCTAAGATTTCCCCAGCAGGATATCACAAATACTACAAGTAATTTATGGCTTTTCCCTTCTACAACAGAGTTTATATTTGGAGATTCACCAACCAGTGCTTCAGAAGGGATTTATTTTCCCCGCTTCCAGCAACACTGCGGCATAAACAATCTTTAATTCCATCCATTTGTATCCATACATCATAGAATTGACAACATAAGTACATACAGTGCAATCGCATTTATTTTTAGAAACAAACATCACACCATGCATCACATACATCATAGCATTGCATACAATTAACTCTTCACCTTTTGCAGGAAAGAGTCATTTGACAGGAAATTATCATCAACAAATTTCCAACAGACAAAAAATTTTAAGAAAAGACTGGTCGACTATCTACATAACAAAATATTTCTTCCAGATTTTCACTGGTTCAGATAAATCTCTCAACGGTTTATTCTGATTCATGTCCAGTTTTTTATTGGTTCAGATAAATCTCTCAACGGTTTATTCTGATTCATCTCCAGATTTTTACTGGTTCAGATAAATCTCTCAACGGTTTATTCTGATTCATCTCCAGATTTTTACTGGTTCAGATAAATCTCTCAACGGTTTATTATGATTCGTCTCCAGATTTTTACTGGTTCAGATAAATCTCTCAATGGTTTATTCTGATTCATCTCCATATTTTCACTATTTTAGATAAATCTCTCAACGGTTTATTCTGATTCGTCTCCAGATTTTCATTGGTTCAGAATCTCTTAACGGTTTATTCTGATTTGTCTCTAGATTTTACTGGTTTAGAAAAATCTCTCAACGGTTTATTCTGATTCATTTCCAGGTTTTTACTAGTTTAGATAAATTTCTCAATGGTTTATTCTGATTCGTCTCCATATTTTCATTGGTTCAGATAAATCTCTCAAAGGTTTATTCTGATTCATCTCCAGATTTTCACTGGTTCAGATAAATCTCTCAACGGTTTATTCTGATTCGTCTCCAGATTTTCACTGGTTCAGATAAATCTCTCAACGGTTAATTCTGATTCGTCTCCAGATTTTCACTATTTCAGATAAATCTCTCAACGGTTTATTCTGATTCATTTTCTGTTAAAAAAAAAGAAGAGATAAAGTTCAAACTTTCCTTCAAAAATCATCTTTGGATGGCATCTATAAGCCCATCTTTGACAATTCTCCTTTTGCTTCTCCAAATGGCGTCTTTAAGCCCATTTCCTTACGCAGTCGACCAGCGCATCATCAAGTGCAAATTTCTGGGCACTCTAGTGTTCAATCAGCTTCCACTTTTAAGCCACGAACGACAAACACGTCGATCTCACTTTTCAAGTTTAAGAAGATTGAACAGGGGCAGCTGTTGTACCCTAAAATTTTCCCTCCCATTTTTCACTCAAGATGCTATCCCAGGTGTGATGCGGTGGGAGAACTGACTTGAGGTTTTGCGTTTTATTGCAAATTTCGCAGTTAGCAAGAGTCGCCATCGACTTTTCTTTTATCCAAAAGGAAAGGTGAAAAAGCACAGGAAAGACCTTTGAGATGTTTTCTTGAGTTCTGGGGGTAGATTATGAAAAGGGAAGGTGCTAGCACCCTTTTCATCCATGGTTTTCCATGGGCTCTTAGTTACTTTCTTAGATCACTTGCTTTGGTTTGTTTGAAATGGTGCTTGTTGTGGTTTTGAAATTTTTTTGTAAAAGAGGCCATTCGTTTAGGCAATCTTTGTAATGATTCTCGTTCGTAAGAATGTATACAAAGATGTTTGTCTTTTTGAAAATGTTTTCAATGTTTTATAAGATGTGTTTTTGAAATGTGTATGTGTTTGTTTTGAAAATAGCAAGGAGATTGTTTGAAATGCAGCAAGTAACTAGAAGCTATCTACCTACTCAAATGTCTTTCCTATGTATTTTCTATTCCTTTGATATTGTTGACTTACCACTGATTTGGTAAGCAACCCTATCTTTGGATGTATACGGGATGGGCGTGGGTCGTCGTATAACCATGATAGCAATGTTGCAAAGTATCTTAGCATTTTTTGAGGGATCAAGATCATTTTGTTTAGGCAACTTTTGAATAGCGTCATCGAGGGACTATGATCTTATATTTGTTTTGTTTTGCCAAGATACTTCGCATGCGTAACATGGCCATTTTATTTTAGGCAACCAAGTGGGAGAAACCCTAAGGGTGCTTGTGTGCAAAGTGTACCATTTTCATGCTTTTGACTTTGTCTTCTATTTAGGGTTTTCTATTTGTTTTGTTTTGCTCTTGTCATACAAACCCTAATTTACTAATCATGGCATATGAAAGAAATAAGTTGTGTAATGTAAATATACTAAGCTATTACAACAATTTTATGGGAGGGGGAAATACAAGTTTGAATGGGGATTTGCACAAATATAAAGCTAAATATATTATTACAACCAAATCGAACTTGCGCGAATTAAATAAATATAATACAAATATTTAAAATGTAATGCAATATGTATGTAGAGAAAAGGGTTTTTTATGTCTTGTTTTTCTTATGTAAAAGTATTTAATTTAAACATAAAAATAAGGAAAAATAATTAATTCTTTGAAAGGGATTAAACCCTAATTTTTATTTAAAAGAAAATAATGTTTCTATATTATTATTGTGCATTTTTTTATAAAAAATAATAAATAATATTGTATATAAATATTAAAAATTAAATATGTGCAAAAATAAGTATTTGTAAGTATAAAAATGTAAAGTGAGAAATATTAAGTATATTTAATTATTTATAAGTTTAAGAAAATCAATTATATTTATCAAAATAAACTATTTTTTCATGTGAGAAATAATAAATAAAATAAAATAAAAGTGTGAAAACAAATAAATCATTTTTTAGGATTTTTTTATTATTAAGAAAAATAAATAAAAGTATTAAATATAAAAATAAAAAAGAAAAATATAAAATATGAAATAGTTAGCAATGGGGGTGCAAAAGCAGATCAGTGGTGGTGTTTAGCAAAAACAAAAAAGGCCCAGAAGCAAATAAAAGCCCAACGACTTCGTCCCTGTCCTTCCTTCCTCTTCTTCGCGCCATGGCCATTCAGCCTGTCACTTCCTCATGCTTGCATAAAAATGAAAACTCATAACATGAAAAATGTAGCATTTGAGCTCACGATTCCAACCATATAAATTATGTAACCTAACTATCTAAGATCAAAGAGAATTTTGGAATCTCTAAATCTTGACCTAAAATTTTCAAAGATTTCAAACTCTAAATTCTCTTAGCACAAGTAATATAAATGCAAAGTAATAATATGTACAACTTCGTTATGATGAGAACTACATTTTTCCTTCACAAATCGTGGCTTGAGGTTGCCTGTATAAAGAGATGGAGTTTGAAAAATTACCTCCTTCAGTTGGAATCGTGTAGGGCAATGTAGGGACTTTAATGAAGGCCTGATGATTGCTTGAGCTTTCTTGAGCTTCCCTGAATCTATTCCAACTCTTATCTTGCTCTGAAGATGGCTGGAACTCCATGACAAAGTCCAACTGCAAGCTTCCAAGGTAACAATGGCAAATGGTGAAACAGAGGTTACAGAACTAGGGTGATGGTTTTGATTGATTAGGTATTAAGTATGTAAGATGCTTGGATTAGTTAAACACAGAACACACGAGCCAAATGAGACTTGGATGAGTTTTTGCAGAAACCGTATGCTTGAGCAGGTTTTTGGTGTTTTTAAGTTTGAGAGAGTTCTAGGTCCAAGCCAAGCATGTAATGTCTTGTACATTGTTTTCATATTAGTATATAAGTGATCCAAAGTGAGCTCTCTAGTAGTTGTGCAAGCCTTAGCCTTTTTTGCAACTTTTCTTGTACTTGAAGCAAGTTGACAAGACCAAACCCACATGCTTGTACCAACTTGCTTTAGGGTTGGTATGAGTTTGTACAAGTTGCTTGAGACCTGTGTGGTTTTCTTGTATCCAGGGGACAGGTTCAAAGCTCCAAGTTGACAAGTTTGCAAAAGTGCTTCTTTATGAAAATGGCAATGGCGCCTTTTTGCCCAAAATTGAAATACAAGTTGTGTAAAAGTTCAAAAGCAAGGATAATGGCTTTATCAATTGAGTATGCATTTAATTAAGGAGTGTGTAGCAAGTTTAGGACCTGTAAATCAAGAAATAGCTAGCATAGGTTTGGTTTGCAACTTGGTTCTTCATGGAAATGGCTTGAACAAAAAGTGAGAAAATGCCAACTTCCTCTCTTCGATTCTCCCTACTCAAAAATGATCTTGGAGAGTTATTGGACATTTTGGAAAGCTTGCAATGTTATATATAATCCATCTTTAAAATTCATTTTGAGATACATCTTGGAACTAGGTGAAAACTTGTCATGAAGTTGGGTCCAAAACCTGCCTAAATTAGGGTAAAAAATTACTAAGTTAAGAAGTTCATGACCATGTATTCACAAATTCATAACTTGAGATCCAAGAATCTTTAGGGAAACGTTTGTGAAGTAAAGTTGTATATTTCATGGAGGTTTACAACTTTCATGTTGGGTACATTCCTTGAATCAAAATGCATCATGGTGAAAAAGTGGTGCAAAGTTGAGAAAAAATAAGAAAAATTTTATACTTAGAAAATTTCTAAGTTATGAAAATTTTCAAATTAAAACCCTAATTTTAAAATTTAGTTTTCTTGGTCAACAAGTTTCACATTTTGACATATATTTATGAATTATGACCCTTGGCACTTGACTTTGAAGTCAAAGTTTGACTTTTCAGTGTACAGTTGACTTTTGATTAGTTGACTGCAAATTTCATCTGTCAATCCAATGAACTTGAGATGTTTTAAACCATGTAATTAAGTCAAGATGATGCCATTGAATCCTTGAAATCATGCTTGAACTCAATTGGTCAATTTCTAGGTTAAAAATCAAAAATTACCCTTCCTCAGTCAAAACCCTAATTTTGACCATTTTGCCCTTTTGATGATTTGGTCAAATTTCTTGAGAAGTTGTAATCCAAACTTGTTAAAATGTTACATATGAGTCTAAAATGTTGATGTGGATCAAGAATTATGAATTTTGACTGTAAATTGGCCATGGTTGACTTTTTCCCCCATACAACTGATTTTTAGGTCAACTGTCCAGTTGACTGATCAAAAATGTGGTTCAAGGCTTGAAAATTAACATGAACAAACTTAGGGGTCCAAATTGATGTATGAAGGTCAAATGAAGCATTGGTGATCCAAAAATCCTTGTGCAAACTCAAACCCTTATTTTGGCTTATCAGTGCAAGGTGAGATGTCTTGAGCTGACCAAACCCTAATCTTATCTTGAGTCAAAGAAGTCTTGTGAGAAAAGTCTTGATAAATGAGAGGGAAAATTTTGGGGTACAAAATATGCCCTTATTCAATCTTCTTGAACCTGAAGAGTTAGATTGGCGAGCTTTGCCATTCGTGACTCGAAGGTAAAAGATGATTGGACACTAGAGTGCCCGTAAATTTGCACTCGACAAAGTGTAGTTGAGGGAATGGGCTTAAAGATGCCATTTAGAGAGGTGATAGAATCTTGTTAGAGATGAGTGTAGCGGTGAAAATCGGAGATCAAGCTATTAATTAACTTGACTCACAAAAGCAAGAGTCGCCACCGCGCTTTATTATTTCCAAAGGAAAAGGGAAAAGAGCGAAATAAAACCCTAAAATATGCAATGTATAATAATACTTAAAAGTAATGAAAATACAATGCGTTTTGAAAAGAGATCGAGAGTTCGGGGGTTGGTTATACAATGGGAAGGTATTAGCATCCAATGCATCTGCGGTACTCCGCAGGAACCTTTTGAGATATCTGTTTTTGGTTAAAAATTATTTGTTTGATTAAAATGGTTCGTTTGCTAAAAATAGGTGTTGGCGAGATTTTGAAGAGACAGCGACCTAATGTCAAAGTTTTGACTTAAAAGGTGTGAGTTTAAAAAATTGAATCTTTTGGGAAAATTATCTTAGGTTTAACAAAACAGTAAACAAACAAAAGATAAATGAGGGTATTCGCACGATTGGATGAGATGAGTTTGATGACATGAAGTCAACAAATTTAATTATTTCCTTTGGAGTAAGCAAAATAAAATGAACATCAAAATATAAACATTCAGAAGTTCACAAGAAAATAAATCTGACAAAAACAAATTAATGATCAAGAGGCACCGAGAAATTGAAATGACAGAAATATACAAATAAAAAGGAATATAACTAATTATCTAAAGAAGTTATTCAAACTAAATTAAAAATTACTTATTAAAATAATTCTAAACTAATTACAAATTCTAAGGTTATAAAAAAAATCTAGTATTATTGAATTTGATCTAAACTAAACTAAAACTTTAAAATTTAGTAAGTTAAATCTAGATTAAATTAAAATCCTAAGGTTACTAAATTAAATCTAAAACAAATGAAAATTCCAAAGTTACTAAACTAAATCTAAATCAAATAAAATTCTAAAACTACTAAACTAAATTTAAATCGAATAAAAACTCTAAAGTTATTAAACTAAATCTAAATCGAATAAAATTCTAAAACTACTAAACTAAATTTATATCAAATAAAAACTCTAAAGTTATTAAACTAAATAAAAATTATAAACTTATTAAACTAATTCTAAATCAAATAAAAATTATAAATTCACTAAACTAAAACTAAACAAATAAAATTCTAAAGTTAACTTAAATAAAGTCAAATAAAATTCTAAAGTTATTAAACTAAACAAAAAACAAATAAAATTCTAAAATTTACTAAATGAAATAAAATTCTAAAGTTATAAAATAAAACTAAAACAAAATAAAATTCTAAAGTTATTAATTATGATTCTAAATATTTTAAAGCTATAAAATAAATCTAAACTAATTAAAAAAATTCTAAATTAATACTAAACTAAATCTAAATATAAGATTTACTAATATTTTTTATATATTTTTTTTAAAAGAGAAAATGTTGTCTTTCGTGTTATGTAATAACCTAAATTATTTTAACTATTAAGCCTAAATACTAAACTCATTAAGATATATACTTGACTATTGACTAAGAACTAAGGTAGAACCTAAATCTATAGTATAATAATAATCCATGATAGTAATGATAAAAACAAAATCTTACCCTATGGACCAACAGACGTGCCCCTGCTGTCACAAATAACAAAACCCCCTCTCATACATGTAGCAGCGAAACCGACACACACAAAACTTCCATCGTGACCCTTTTATGAAAATTTCTCTCTGCCTTTCTCTTCATTAATTTAACTTTTCTTCAAATACTTCCATTACCAAAATAATAATGCAAGAACAAACCTGCTTCTTCCTGCTTTCGACAGAGACGGTGGGCTGTGCAAGGCGGTGATTGCAGCGGTAATATGGTGAATCGCGCCGAAAACGTCATCGGAGGGCTCGGTCCGGTACATCGCGGAGGACGATGGTGTTTAGCCAAATGGGCGTTGTGGTGTTCGTCGACCGTTCATGATGGTGTCGTGGTCTGGCCGGTGGAGATGCTTCTTGCGGTCGTCGGTGGATCTATGACCGGAGGTTGGTGGCTGGTGTTGCGTCCCGGATCCGGTGAGTTCGGCGACCGGATGTTGGCTGCATTTGCGGTTTCGATTGTTTACAGATTTTCTTGTCACTATTCTTTACTCTCTCTTTGATAGCTGCTCTGCTTTTTTTTGGTTGTGTGTGTCCCCCTTTGCAAAGAAAATAAGAGACTTTTAAATAGAACAATGAAGAGGAAAATTGATTTCAAGAATTGATCAGAACCGTTCAAAATCATTAATCCGCAAATTAAGTTATCAACCAATAGAAATAGAGCAAGGTGTATTTAATTTTTTTTTATGACAAAAACGCCCTTAAATGGAATAAAAACTGAAAGTATTAAAAATAACTCAATTTAAAATGATTTTTTGAATATTTTATGAATAAAAAATAAAGACCCAAAAATGACCGAAAATGATAAAAAACGGCCGAAAATTTATCCGAAAAAATAAAATGAACACATTAAAATAATCTACATGTCACAAAGATTAAAGAAAAAATATTCAAGAAGTCAGAAATCAAAAATAAAATAATAATAAAAATATCAGACTAAACAGACGTTTAAGGTTAAAAACGAGACTTTGAACTGTACCGAAAATAAAGAGAGCATACCGTCATAATCTACGCGAAGCGCAGATTCATAAAATGATCGGTAAAAGGTGAAAACTTGAAATATTTTTCTCGCTAATTTTTCGCATATTGTTGAATCGCTTTTAACAGTTTGTCTATAAAATCAAAATATTTTTATTATCGACATATAAACAACTTGGAGCAATGCAAGAAACGAGTAAAGAGATAAAAATGAATGATGTGAAATGCCGGGTATTTTTTAACTAAAAGACGATGCAAACTTTGATTTAAACTGACTTTTCTGGTCAACTTAAATACGACTAATGATGCAAAATATGATGAATGAAGATATTTACTAATGATCGTGATCAAATAACAAAATATGATATGAAAGTGCGATTAAAACATGTTAGGGGCGAAATCTAGGGTGCAACAGTGTGCCTTGATGAATCAGTCTTCGAGAATCCACAATCAACCGTACTTCTGGCTTGGGAGACTCAAAACCTTAATTGAGGCGCGACACCTGATGCTCTTGATTCAGACCTGTCTCTGCACATGAAACAAAAGAAAACATGAACATACACCTTTGTATGCGATTAGAAATTAGTGATACATAGGCTCAAAATGTTCAAAACACTTGACAATCTTCGCATAGTCAATGCTTGAAAGTGAGAGGTTAAAACCGACTGTATTTCGTGACCTTGACTTATCTTTAAAATTGCAAAAATAAAAATAGGATCTTAGGTCAAAAATTGGGGTACAACAATGAGCTTGTAGATGCCCTCCAGGAATGTTTGTTGAATTTTAAGTTGTAAGTCAGAAAAATAAGTATCAGAATGTTGTCCGCGTCTGGAACGTATTTGAGCTGTATCTAAAACTTGAAATCTGAATGAGAAACAGAATAGCATCAGTGTCTGGAGCGTATCCGAAATTTTGGAAATCTGAATGAGTATCAGGATGGCATCCGTGTCTGGTGCGTATCTGAACTGTATCTTGAAGTTGGATCCGAATGAGTAACAGAATGGCTTCCGTGTCTGGAGTGTATCTAAACTGTATCTGGAAGATGAATCTGAATGAGCAACAGAATGGCTTCCGTGTCTGGAGCGTATCCGAATTGTATCTGAACTTGAATCTGAATGAGAAACAGAATAGCTTCCGTGTCTGGAGCGTATCTGAACTGTATCATGATTGCATATTGTTAATGGTAGCTCGTTAATCTTATCCTGAAAAGGGTAAAATGTTAGCTGAAACACAAAGTTATGATGCATGAAATGTATGATGCAATATATGTGTTTTATCGATGTTTATGATATGTGGATGTAATGTATGCGCATGTAAGTTGATTCACTGTATTGCTGAGGAAAATAAATCCTTGACTGCTGCTGAGGATATGTGGATTCTTCATGTCTTAAAGTTGGAGTAATTGACAACAATTCAGTTGTGAGCAATGCCTTATACTGCTTGAGTAATCCGCTTGGAGAATCCAGAGAATTTTGATGACTTCTACTAGGGATCTAACAATGGGAATCCTCGTTCTAGTGGGGAACAATGAAAACTCTATAGGAAAAAGCTTATTCCTGTTTGGAAAATGTTCGGGAGTTTCGATCGTCTGCCACTCTACTAGGGTATTATCCTAGGTTAGGGAGAAACAGAAGTTAACCATTATCCGGTTGATTTTCAGGCTTCAACACAACTTGCTGGGAGAATTGGAGAAACTGGATGGTTTCCATCGGGGTTTAATAGTTTGAAGTTTCAGCTCTGCTGGGGATCTTAATGACGTACTATAGGGTTTGCTCATGGAATAGCCTAAAGACGTTTTCCTATTCTTTCAACCTGTTAGTAATTGTTCTTTTTCATTTTGTTTATTTGTAAACAGTAATTATGTTCAAATGCATATGTTCATTAATGAATCATTGGACGTTTTTGCAAATAAAAACACAAGTGTAAAGAAAAAGGAAAATAGTTTTCTGTACTTTGAAAGAGATATCTTTGTATTTACTTTGAATAAGTATTTTGTACAAAAGAGATAGACATCCTAGTAAGAGGATGGTGTCATAAAAATAAGAAAAAATTATACAAAGATAGTTATATGTGATAATCCAATGGGGTTCCCATTCTGCTATAGCCTCCATATCTCTGAATATCTTGTCTATCCGTTGCTTTGTCCGAAGATGATTAAATCGATCAGAACTCTGAGTTTGTCAGTGAAGAGGTTGAAGTTGTCCTCAAAGTGATCCAACGAGACATATTCATACGCTTTAATTCCCTAACTTTTGCCTGGACTACCCTTTCGGGTTTTCAATCCACCGGGAAACCATTTTTTGCCCAACTCGCCCTTTCGGGTTTTCAACTTGCCGGGTGTACAGATTTTTTTTATTTTATCCCTAATTTTATCCCGAACCTTTTGGTTCACCAGGATGCCCTTGTTTTGCCTAGGTGTGTCAACCTAGCGGGTCTCTTATGCGTAGTATTTTTTGTCTATGTCTACGCTCGTAGGGTGTGGCAGGTCGTTGCCGTCCATGGTGGTTAAGATCATTGCCCCACCAGAAAAGATGTTCTTGATTACAAATGGTCCTTCATAGGTAGGAGTCCATTTGCCCCTGGGATCACTTTGTGGCAAGATGATGCGTTTGATCACCAGATATCCAACTTGATATACTTGGCGTCTGACTTTCTTGTTGAAGGCCTTGATCATCCGTTTTTGATACATCTGACCATGGAAAACAGCAGTAAGCCTCTTTTCCTCAATTAAGTTTAGTTGATCAAGCTGGGTCTGGATCCAATCGTCTTCACTCAAACCTGCATCTTTCATAATTCTCAAAGAGGGGATTTGAACATCAATAGGCAAAACAGCCTCCATGCCATAAACCAAAGAATAGGGTGTTGCCCCAGTTGATGTGCGAGTCGTGGTACGGTTCCCGTGGAGAGAAAACGGTAGCATTTCATGCCAGCCCTTGTAGGTAACTGTCATTTTCTGTATGATATTTTTAATGATTTTATTAGCAGCTTCGATTGCACCATTCATCTTTGGCCGATAGGGGGATGAATTGTGATGTTGAATCTTGAACTGCTCGCACAAGGCGGGGATCATAGTATTGTTAAGGTTTGTACCGTTATCAGTGATGATCCTTTCTGGGATACCGTACCGGCAAATAAGATTTTGCTTGATGAAACGGGCAACAACATTCTTAGTAACGGATGCGAAGAAAGCTGCTTCGACCCACTTTGTGAAATAGTTAATGGCCACTAGAATGAAGAGGTGTCCATTGGAGGCTGTAGGCTTGATCTCCCCAATCATATCGATTCCCCATATAGCGAAGGGCCAAGGAGCTGTTAAGACGTTTAGAGGAACCGGAGGCACGTGCACCTTATCTGCATAGATTTGACACTTATGACAGGTCCGAGAGTGTTGATAGCAGTCTGCTTCCATGGTAGACCAATAATAGCCTGCCCGTAGAATTTTCTTCGCCATCGTATGCCCACTAGAGTGAGTGCCAAAGGTACCTTCATGTAATTCAACCATAATCTTTTCAGCCTCAATCTTATCCACACAACGGAGCAGAATAGAATCATGATTACGTTTGTACAGGATGCCATTACTTAGGAAGAAGTTAGCTGAGAATCTCCTTAAGGACTTTTTGTCATTGATTGAAGCTCCTTCTGGATATTCTTGAGCCTCGAGATACCTTTTTACTTCATGAAACCAAGGCTGGTCCACTACTTCTTCAGTATTAATCTCGTGACAGTGTGCTGGTTCGTCCATTCGTTCAATGGTGATCTGGGGAGCCTCGTTATCCCAATTAAGTTTAAACATAGATAACATTGTGGCTAAAGCTTCTGCTAGCTAATTTTCTTCTCGCGCGAAATGCTCGAAGGTAATCTGCTCGAAATGTGGTAACAATGTCAAAACATGTTCTTTGTAAGGGATAAGGTTTGGATGCTTAGTGTCCCATTCTCCTTTGATCTGAATGATGACCAAAGTTGAATCTCCAAACACATCTAAAGATTTGATTCCCAAGTCTATGGCAGCCTTGAGACCAAAGATGCATGCTTCGTATTTCTCCATATTGTTCGTACAGTTGAAGCAAAGCTTGGCAGTAAAGGGAGTATGGCACCCTTCCGGAGATATGAGTACAGCGCTGATACCTGGGTAAGGTGATAAGTCCGTGTAAAACTTCATCTGAAAGTAGAAGGAACCTGTGTAGGGTCGCCTGATGATAAGTTCGTGTAAAACTTCATCTTGGAAATGATAAGGAACCGGTGTAGGGTCGCCCGATGATGAGTACGTGTAAAACTTCATCTGAAAGAGAAGGAACCTGTGTAGGGTTACTTTATGATGAGTTCGTGTGAAACTGCATCTTGGAAAGAGAGGAAACCGGTGTAGGGTCGCCTGATGATGAGTTCGTGTAAAACTTCATCTTGGACATGAGAAGGAACCAGTGTAGGGTTTCCTGATGATGAGTCCGTGTAAAACCTCATCTGAAATTGAGAAGGAACCGGTGTAGGGTTTCCTGATGATAAGTACGTGTGAAACTTCATCTGAAAG